ACTTCATTTCTGGACATTTATGGTTTGATTTCTTTGTATGTATGGATCACTTGGGTTGTTACCAACATCTGGTGAAKATTTCATGTCATTAGCACCTCTAGCAATATATTTACTGAGAAAAATGGTGACGTGTTCAATACTTATTTTACCTGCTGTACATCCAAACAGACTTTACAAACATCAGCTTCGGCAGTGTTTTCAGAAACTTTGGCTGTTTTTGTAGCTAAACATTTTTAATTCAAACATGTCAGTGTGAGAACAAATGTTTTGTTTCTCACTTTATAAATTGTTGTTGTGACTTTGCTATGAGAAGCTTTAAGGTTTTTAAATAAATGAAAGTTTAAAGAGATTAAATGTGAATCTTGATCTTTGTTTTGCAGGTTTCCTTCAATCATGGAGCTTCTTGTTTCAACGTCTGATCAGTGTTTCTGTCRAATAAAGTCCAGAATCGTTCTACCTGCCTGTGATTTGTTCCATCAGCTCGGCTCACAGCTGCTTCAGTGGCTCAGTTATGTTCTGCTCTGTGCTGAGTTCAGGCCTCTCTGCTGCAGGACGGGTCCGTCCTGAGACGGGACGAAGCCACGCCTCTTTGCTCCTGCTCCACGTGAGCTTCAGTGCAGAAACAGATGTGCACGATGACAGCGTGTTTCCTCTSTGCACACTGAGTGTACGAGCCGCCGTCACAAACATTTTAACGAAGCTCCGTCTGTGTCAGAACAACTAAAATAAACTATTTTTCACTGAAATGAGTTCTTTTTCCAGAGTCCAGCTGTTGGTTTGCTGCTGGACGAGTAAAAATAACATTTAAATGTATTAAACTGTATTTTTTATCAACCGAGGGCATTCAAAAATGTGATAATAACTGTTCACTGTTTTTCCATAAAACTGCACTTTAAACGTCTGAAAACAGCTGGTTCCTGAAACAAAAACTCTTAATGAGAACYTCTGGATCCTGATGAGGAACTTTTAGTTCTGAGGAGGTTTTTCCTTCATCCTGTAGAGAAATCCTCTCTCATCAGATAAGATCTGATTTTATGTTTTCATCTGATAATTACATTTTAATATTGACCTTTTTATTGACTGAATATGTCTAACTTATTAATAAATATYGTAACACTTGAAAATGTTACATAAAAACTGCTTTACTACTCAGTAACAGTTACTGAGTATATACTGAGTATATAAGGACACCAAAGAGAAACTACTCAAGAAATACTAAGTAGTAAATCATTACTTACTCAGTAACTGACTATTTGCTGTTTTTATGTACCCTAAAGTAATGTGAGACATCTTCCTAAGTATATACATATTTATTCACTCTCACTTATTCATTTACTTACTCATTCATTCATTCATTCAATTCAATTCAATTCAAAAATACTTTATTGATCCCAGAGGGAAATTCATTCATTTACTTACTCACTCACCCATTTACGTATTTATTTACTTATTCACTCATTTACTTATTCATTCATTTACTCATTCAGTCATTAATTTACTCACTCATCAATTTATTTACTCATTTACTTACTTATTATTTTACTTATTAATTTATTTACCCTCTTATTCACTTATTTACTTTTTCATTTAATTACTTATTCATTCATTCACTCATTCAATTACTCTTTTACTTACTCATTTACCTACTCGTCCATTTACTTACTTATTTACTTACTTATTCACTCATTTACTTACCTACTTACTTAAAAACAATACTTACTGCTCAGTTACTGGGTAAGTAATGATTAGTTACTCAGTAGTTACTCAGTTTTTGTGTACCTTATTGTAAAATGTTATTAAATATCTATTAGAAAGTAGACGGGATGCTGCAGCTTCTATCATCAGGAGCTAACAGAGAGCACATTAATCAGAAGCAGCTCAGTCATTTGTGCCTGCAGTATAATCCTGGCTGGCAGTGATACTTTTCTTTTATTTATGTTGAAAGCTGTTTGTCAGGAAGTTAAAGTCCACCCTGCTGCAGCTTTCCTCCTTCTGTCTGACTGTAGGTTTGTAACTGAAGCAAACAAGGACAAATCTGTGACAAACAGAGGAAAAACAGAAAGACAGCACGGAGCATGCTCTGTGAAACACAAACATTTAGAAGTGGGTTGGACCTAAAAACGACCTGCGTTCTTTAAAAGAAGAGAGAGGATCACAGGCAGCGCGTCAGCCGGTCAATATTGACTCAGCTGTTGTGTTGACGGTGTGCGACACACGCCAGGGTGACTGCAGCGCCATGCGTCCTGTCATTTTATTCTTTTTTGTTTTGTTTTTTGTCCTGTTTGAGCCAGAACGGCCACCTGCTGATGTGACGCTGCGAAGCGGGAGATGCTCAGCCACAGCAAGCAGGAGATGCAGGTTCAGGTGATGAAAGAGACACAAAGAGATGGAGAGGTCTGTGTGTGTTAGAGCTGCACATTCCTCCAGCCAAAGCTTTGGAAACCACAGAGGACACACACCAGAGAGGGTTAGCAGGAGGAGACAGAGTCGGGGGGGGGGGGGTGTCAGGAGCTGCGTTCCGGACGGTTTGCGGTTCTACTTACATTTGCAGCCATTGTCCCACAAATAGCCGGGTAGACACTCGTGACACTTGGGCCCTGTAGTGCCCTCCTTACATATACAATATCCTGTGCCATTACAGCGATCACTGACTGAGCCAACAGGATTACAATTACACTCTGCAAAAACAAAAACACACACAGACTGGAGAACAGGGCAGAGCTTTGACTTCCCGGCACAGATTCTCACAGTCCTGCTGCTCAACAAGCTCCACGAGCTGCACCGTCAGGCCCAAGTGGTAAAAACACAGAGCCGGCAGAGTCAAAGGTTCAAACAGAGAAAATAATGCAACCATTTCAACGAGGATGAAGACAGAATGAGAGAAATGTGAAGTTGGTTTGAGATGCATCAACAGTTTACACTGATTACAGTTAAATTAGTCAATCCCTCTGCGCATGTTTCCAATGAAACTGGAACCAGACGGGRCCACTGGAGACATGTTGGACTCCACTACTGCTGAACATGTTGAGTTATTTCCACRGATGTTTGACCAGAACCTGTACAAAACATGCTCAAGAGTCATCAAAGTCCATTTCTTATGTTCACTGGGAACTTTTATGTGGTCTTTGGTCTTCAAACTTTAGAAACACAGATGAGTGTTAGAAGGAAGGACTGCATTCCTCTAATGTGTGTCAAATTCAGAACAGAGTTTAAAATCTAACATACAAAACTTTWTCATAATTTAAACCTCCTATTGTTCCATATTTTCCTAACAGAGCACTTGGCTCTCAGACTGCAGGTTTACTTGTGGTTCCTAGAGTTTCTATAAYGGGAGGCGGAGCTTTCAGTTCTCAGTAACCAACTTCTAGTTTCTGTCTCTGAGGCTGAGACTCTGTTTATTTTTATGACTTAAAGTTGAAAGTTTTTTTAAATTAAATCCTATAGTTAGGGTTGGGTTTCCCAAGTGATTCTATAGTTCGGCTGCTAAAGGAGGAAACACTGACTACATTTCATCACTCTGCTGCAATCTTCACTTCCTCTAAACTGTGTTTGTATTTGAATAATTTTGATCTTAAATGTGCTTTTTATTTGTCTTTCTTATCAACGAAACGACATCTGGACCACAGAAACTACACCTGGACCACAGAAACTACTACACCTGGACCACAGAAACTACTACACCTGGACCACAGAAACTACTACACCTGGACCATAGAAACTACTACATCTGGACCATAGAAACTACTACACCTGGACAATAGGAAATAATACTGTACACCTGGACAACAGAAACTACTACACCTGGACAATAGAAACTACTACACCTGGACGATAGAAACTACTACACCTGGACGATAGAAACTACTACACCTGGACGATAGAAACTACTACACCTGGACGATAGAAACTACTACACCTGGACGATAGAAACTACTACAC